TCAAAGGTGATCCGAAGGCTGGAGATCTCAGTAATTTAAAGAGGTCAACCTGTTTAACGTATCAAAAAGCAGAACGAGACATGACTTGCTTGCAGTATCACTTCCTTCCTGGGGAAAAGGGTACCAGGTATTCTGGCAGAGAATAACAAGAGCCAGTCACTGGAGAGTGATTAATCACAGAAACAAACTACCAAGTGAAGTGCAAGATCCTCTCTCTTCTGGAGTCTTTGAATCACGACCGGAGGCCTGTCTGGAAGACAGTTCCCAGTCTGCAAAATCCTGAGGGCTGTGAGAGCGGATCGGAGGAAGAGTTACTGTGCAGTTACCCTCTTTTTAAACTCCTCTGTAAGCAGCTGATACTGGGCTGCCTTTAGGTGTAACTAGGTACAGGTCTTACGACCCTGTGTGCATTAGCCCAGTACAAGTTATAGGGTTAAAAGCCTTCTGGATCATCCAAGCGATTCACCCCAGCCTCCTTCGTCCTTACAGTGTTTTTGTCTCGGAGTCTGTGTTACACACAGTTGTGAAAAATCGTCTCAGAAGATGTGACCCTAGCTATGTTTGGAGAAGGACTGGGGAAAAAATATCATCGGCATTTTGACAAGTTATTTGGATTCTGTGGTGGTGAAGAGAGAAACAACCTAGAATGAGACAGTACAGCTCTACGGGCTTTAAAGTGGGACAGCGAGCGCATAGGAAAGAAGGTGGATCTACAGCATGAAGAGAATGGAGGTTTCTTTCTGGAAAGATCAGAGTGAGATCAGAAGAGAGGGATGATGCTAGGGGTGGTTACAGCGAGGATTAGAAATTCCAAACATTCAGAAATAACAATGCAGAACCTCCCCGTGTCACGAGATTTATCTTAAAATTATGAAAAGTTGTAAAGACTTGCTGTCGTCTGCACTCTTTGCCTCCTATTTTCGTCTCTTTAGGTTACATGAAAATCACATTTCACAGTTTCCCTGTGACCATGAAGACAGGCGTTTGCTTTGTGAACAAAGTGAAAGCATGGGAGTTAATGACTCCAGGAGTCTGGAATTTAATCTCAACACCTGGCACCCTGATCTAGGGACGAGGCAAAGACTTTGCTAAATTATGGGGATGTTACCGCGCACTCTCACAAGAGTTTGTGTATTTTAGGAAGACGATGACCTTCTCATTTGGAGAGCTCAGGATCTGATTCATACAAAGGACTTTCTGGTCTTTGCCCTTGTTTTAGCTCTCTGCAGGACAAAGAAGGAGCAGGCAAAAATGTAGGGACCCAGCACACAGGACATGGGACCTAGGGGTCAGAGTGGAGAAGGAGGACAGAGAGAGCATCATGTAGCTAGGATGCTCGGGCTGCCTGGCTTTATCTGACTAACAATGAAAGGCAGCAAGCGTGTCAGAGAGTGTGAGAGAAACAGATCGATAGAGAGATAAAACTGAGATGGAAGGAGCTGGCGAGGGGGTGGGGAAGAGAGTAATCAAACACTACAAATCAGCAGGGTTACGTTTGAACCTGATTTGAAAGCACTCTGTGCTGGTGTAAGTGAGTACAGCAGGTATAAGGCTATGGTGAATCAGACCTAAATACAGAAACAGAGAGGGAAAAGTAGGAAGGAGATAGTCCTCTTGTTACTACTGCCCTGTAACCTGCCTTCACAGCTCTGACCCAACCTTACAAGCCCTGCTTCTCCTTTAATCCTGCTGTATGGAGAAGCCCAGACCTTGCTAGCTCTGAGAATACAGGTCGACAGAAGGGAGCAGTGTGGACAGCGTGCTGTCCTGCTTTCCCTGCTTCCCTGGGCCGCCATGATCTTCAGCCTATCCTGAAGATGTGTCTGTTGGGTAAAATGTGTCTCGCCCACATTTTGCCCGACCAAATGGCAGGAAATGCTCCTTACCACCTCATTCACCGAGGACCTGGGGCCAGGACAGCTTCTGACAATGCCCTGAACCAGTGGGTTCGGGGCACTTTTCTAGGAGAGATGATTGACTGTGCCCACACGTATGTACCAACGGAAGCTGACCAGAGAAGCCTCTTTGTTCAGCTCCAGATTTTTGAGGCGAATGCAACTGAGACATCCCAAAGCTAAGGGGGGCATCAGAGTGTGTAAATGAAAACGTGCTCTACCAGAACGGGACTGAGCATCTGGCTACCTTCCCCCGTTAGGGCACCTGTTTGCTTCCCTGGCCCAGGCACTCAGAGCCATTTTGCTCCTTCTGCCTGGATTTACTTTTGAGTGACGTCCACCTAATTCTAGTGGCATGACCATTAACGTTAGAAGTTTGGTTTTCCACACTGACCGTTGCTGTCCACACTGCTCCCTTCTTCTGCCAGTAGTCTCAGCATGGAGACCAAGCACTGAAGGAGCCTCAGGGACTGAAGGGAGCCTGAGAAGGGGTAGGGACAACACATATGTCTGTTCAAATGAGTTGGAGCAGCCTCTCGCTGGGAGACACAATGATCTAACTCCCCAAGGCAGCCATGGGTTGTATTTTCTAGCTCTAAAATTGTGTTTGGAGCAGTACGGTACCCAAAGGAGCCTTCTCCACGACTGAGCCACAGCAGCTGCGTGAGAAGAACTAGAGTCAAAGCAAGTGATGAGAAAAGAGTTGTTGATACTGGCAAGTAAAACCTTAACAAACTTAGACTTTACCCAGATGAAGACTTCAAGATGTTATGCTTATTTCAAGACGTTATGCTTACAGAAGTCTGGCAAAGCACAAGTCAACTGCCTTTAATACGTGCTAAACCGATCAAGCTGAAGACCGATTCTCTTGCTGGCAACGGCGTGCTGGAATGCAAACTTGCCCTGACGGCACTAAGATTTTAACATGCTAAAACCATGTTGCCTGCACAGGCTCTATTGGGCTCCCATCAATTTGTTGCCTCCTTTGCTTTCATGGAAAATCATCGCTGATTTCTAAAGGAGCCAGCCACGAGGAAGTTGGTGCCGGGCTGGAAACTCTTGGCCAGACAGCTTAATGCCGCTTATTGAAACGAGTGTTTGCTGACCGCGCTTCTCCCAGTCCCCCTCACAAGTCACCTCTGCCTACCACTTGATTTATGCAAGACAAGAAGAGCTATGAAGGTTTTTTCCCAAAATGACCCTCGCTTTCTAGTCCCATCATTGTAAAAACAGCTCTTTTACCCTGCACGGGGAAGCGTGCCCTCGGTGATGCCTCCTGATCGCATTACACTAACTCATTTGCCCACGAAGGGATACTTAAAGTACACCATAAACATTTCTACCCTTGTGGAGTGTTTAAGCTATCTTTTTATGGCCATACTCTGCCTGCGTCAGGGATGCATTTCTTGACAAGCGCGGTGGTTAATGATTCAGCAGACAGTAAAGCCATTTTTTCATAAAAATTAATGCAGTAGAGGAGGGGATGCATGCAGGGATTTAAGCAATGCACAGTCTAAATACATAAGTATGGTGCTTTGCAACATAAGATTTTTCACATTTACATATCCCCGAAACACTGCCCAAAATAGTGACATCTTAACGGTGTGAAAGCAGAGCAAAGACGGGAGTGATGTGTAGGCACACACAAGGTATTCTATGCATCTCTTTTAATTCTGGCGTGGTACTTACAGAATATATCCTTGAAATATGAAAAATACTGTGCCATATAGCTGTGTATCTGTTTTCTCATCAGTTATTTTAACATAAATATTGTATGGTTAAAGAGTAGATCTTCACCAAAACGTGTGGAGAGACCCATAAATACGTGGATATTCACGTGGCATCCGTGGCCGTTACGGCAGCTGCAGCTTGTTGGACACATTTCAGTACGACTGGGCGGCTCAGGGGAGTTTTTGACAGAAGATGGGTGGCGAGGAACAGGAGCACAGTGAGTAGGTGCTGGCGGTGAGCGGGGCAGGGCATGAAAAAAGTGGTGGAAAACGGAAAACAGAGGTGACGGACAGACAGCGCCGGTGACCAGCGTGGCCAGAGCTGGCGACAAACCGGTGGCCGCTGCCAGCCTGGGTGGAGGCTGCACCCCGGGCGGCCCCTGCGGCGGCCGAGTCCCAGCCGGGGCGGGCCCAGCCGCCGCTTGAGGCCCAAGGACCCGAACCCTGCCGTGCCAGGGTCGCAGGGGGGAGGCTCCCCGCGCTGTGGCCCTGCCTGGGCCCTGTGGAAGGCGGGGGGTGGCCGGCGCCCCGAGGCTGTGCCCTGGGGGATGGC